ATAATTTATTTTCCCAAAACAAGTACCCCTCATGCTTAAAGAACTTATCTACAGCCCCCTTATGACATGAATTGTAAATATTGAAAAATTCAAAATCATTAGCATACATGTCCTTAATGTACTCAAAATCAAGCAATTTTGCACTTAAAGTAGTTAAAAGCACATACTTTCGCGACAATACATCTGCTACTACATTTTTCTTACCTTGTTTGTAACGAATGACATATGGAAAAGTTTCTATGAATTACATCCAGCGTGCATGTCGTTTGTTTAACTTACCTTGATCCCACAAATGTTTCAATGATTCATGATTATAATGAATTACAAACTCTTTTGGCCACATGTAATGCTGCCAATCTCCAAGGCTCGAACAAGTGAATAGAGCTCCTTGTCATACATATGATAGCTGAGAGCTGCACCACTTAACTTCTCACTAAAGTAGGCTATAGGTCTCTTATCTTGCATTAAAACTGTTCCAATACCTATTCCTAGGGCATCACACTCAATCTCGAAAATTTTGTCAAAGTTAGGAAGTGCTAAAATCGATGCTTTACACAAACAATATTTGATAGTGTTTGTTCGCAAAATATTTCTTTTCGATTTTAAAACCCACCGCAAGTGTACGGTTCGTTAACAAGTAGTAAAATGGATTATGAGTCCAAGTATCGTTCCCACGAGGATTGAATTAGCTCTAATTAGACTAATGTGACCTTAACTGAATCTAATTGAATGAAAAATTGGTTTAAATGTGAAAAGTCCCAATTTTGGAAGAAACCCCCAAATTGAAACCCTAATTGCAAAGAAAACCCTAATTTCAAAATTGGAAACCCTAATTTTGAAATTTCACTAATCTAATGAAATAAACACGGAACTGAAATGTAAATATACAATTTTAGAACTATTATATTGAAATGAATTGAAATGAAATCATTAAGAACTTGAATCCCCAATTGACTATTAAAAACCCTAATTTCACAAATTCAACTAGTCGATGGAACAAAATGCCAATTCAATATTCCTAAATTATCCAATACACTCTCTCGATATATATTGAATCTACTCTTACACACCACCAGCCTATATTTCTATGGATGATGCAATGTACAAGAATGCATGACTTTTTATGAACATTTTCATGAATTGCATAAGGCATAGAGGTAAGTTTCCATCCCCTATCGAACCCTATGTCGATTTATATTCTATCGAATTTATTCCCCTTCTTTCGAATGCAAAGAATAAATCATCTACAATCACATAATAATTGGCCAAATAATTATGGAAACATTCAAATCATATAAATCAAACATTTGTCCAATCGAAACCAATGTTGAATTTATGAAATAACGGAAATTTAAATCATCAAAAGGTTTAACAAATTCCTAATGAACAAAAACCTTAGCCTATCATATTTTGAAGAAAATTACAAAAATTCAATAAAGGAGAAGACATCACCCTATTATAATTATTGCTTGAAATCTTCAATCTTGATGAAATCCTCCTTCTTCTTGCATAAATTCTTGGATCTTGATGTTCCTGTGTGCCTCTTTTTTTTTTCCAAAAACGTCTACCCTAGTTTTGGACGTGTTTTACGGTATATATAGCGTGTCCAATTTAGGTAAGAAAGGAGTTGGAGTCGAAAAAGGAAACTGCAGAAAATCACCCGAAGTTTCTTCTATGCGACCGCATAGAAGAAACCTATGCGGTCGCATAGGTCATTTGAGTTGCCCAATTTTTTTTTCCTGTAACCATTTATGCGACCGCATAGATGGTTACACTATGCGGTCGCATAGATGTAACCAACTATGTGGTTTTTACATTTTGGTCCCTGAACTTCCTTGTTGCTTCTCTTGACTTCTTTCTTCGATTTCTTCATCTTTTCAACAAATTTTGTTTTCCAATTGATGATTGAGACCATCAATTCTCATGCCCCTCATTCGGCACATCTTTTGAGTATTTGCGCGTTAGTCCTCCAACTTTCAATTGTCTTCATTTCAGTCCCTCTTCAATACTTTCTTCTTCCATTTGTTTTGCTTTGTCATTGAGCTCATACTTGGCATGTTTTCACTCTCGTTTTGCATTTAGCTCAACTTCTCAATATTTGCACCTTTGGTCCTTGAACTTTCAAATTGTTGCATTTTGGTCCTTCTTTGGCTCTTTTCTCCTGAATTCCACAATTTCCATTGAATTACCTATAATGCATGAATTTAACTGGATTAAGTCACAATTCAACAATTTTATCCATGTTTAAGTCATGTTTATGAACCAATTAAGTGTGTAAAAACACACTTATCAAATCCTCCAAACTTAAACTATTGTTTGTCCTCAAACAATGCAGTGACTCAATGCTAAACAAACATGGCTTAACACCTTGCCTTGGCTCA